GTTTGAATTTAATGAAGGGGGGTCGGGGGAAGCGTGTTACACTGGCATCGATACGTATGATATCGTTTCCGATCTCGGCGGAAGAACAATCTTCTTGATGCTGTACACGTTCCCTGGTAACGCACCTTCCATAAAAAGTTCCTCCTGTCCACATTTCAAAACACCTTGCTTAACGTCGATCTCACAACAATTATTCCTCATAAAGTCTAGGCCTAGGATGCAGTCGTCCATTATATCAGCCACGATGACATTATGCAGGTAGATCACGTTGCCTAGCTTCAACTCCATCTCCTTCTCTCCACGGACGGGTATACGCTGACCGGTGGCTGTTACCAAATTAATGCGTTCTCGGTTGTATGCGGAGTCCCCAAGGAACTGACTTATAAGTTGGGAACTAACAACCGTACGAGAGGCTCCAGTGTCTATGGTCAGTTTACACGGCATTCCGTTGACCTCGCCCTTGATGATTAGACTGTTCCCATCATGGGTTTGTGAGATCGAGATCCTTGGGGCTCTTTTAACATCAGCCAGCACCCGCCCCGCAGTTCTGGCTTTTACTCGTTTCCCTGCTGCTGCTGGGCGGTGCTGTTGGCCGCACTACCCTCCTGGGATCGTTCACCTTCCCTTTCTAGGGTTCGCTTAGGGCAGCTGGATCGAAGATGGCCCTTTTCCCCACAGCCATAGCACCTAGGGCTGTATCCTTTGTTGCGGTCGCGAACTGTAGCTGCTGCAACCTCCCTGACGCGATGGGAACGATGATCCTGCCGCACGGCTTCTACCTCCAGTGCATGGGCCAAGGCGTCCTTAAGCGTCTCATGGTGCCCGAGCCTCACAGCAGCTCTGACTTCCAGGTCACGGATGCCGTCGATGAATGTCTGCACCAGGTTCCCTCCAATGAGCGCAGGTACAGACCGGTATGCCTTTCGCACCAGCTTCTCCACCTCTAGAGCCCACTGCTGCAGGTTTTCGTTGATGCGCTGCACGCGATCTTTAAGCTGCGCACGAAAGACGTGTTCCAGGTGAGCGTCGCCATACCTCGCCTCCAATGCCTCAATGAGTTGCTCATAAGTCACTTCCTCACCGAGAGCTTCCAGAACTGTTAAGGCCTGGTCGCGCAGGCCTAGTGTGAGAGCAGTCATGGCCTGACTTTCATTCCAGCCGTTCGCCTTCATAACAGCCTCGAACTGGATCTTGTAGGCTGACCAGGAAGAGGTACCGTCGAACGGCGGCACTTTGAATCCACGTAGCGAAGGTGTTGTAGCTACTACGGGAGCTGTTGTTCCATCCCCAAGTTTGAGGTCGTCCAGCGTTTTCTTCACGTCAGCCATTACGTTGTCAACCCGATTGTTTACTTGGTCGATTCGGGTTTCGGCCTCCGACAGGCGGTTGTCATGTTGAGCAACCTTATCCTTCACCTCCCGTATCTCTTTTCCGAAGATAGCGTGAAGGTCCTTCATGAGGAGCATCTGCTCTTCCTTATCGCGTTGGAGTTGCTCTTCTAAACGACGGGCCTGTTCCTCCTGCCAGCGGGCCTGTTCCTCCTGCCGGCGGGCCTGTTCCTCTTGTCCGCTTTGCAGCTGCTCTTTCAACTGACGGGCCTGCTCCTCCTGTCGGCGAGCCTGCTCCTCCTGTCGGCGAGCCTGCTCCTCCTGTCGGCGAGCCTGCTCCTGCAGCATCACCATCAGAGCACCTAAGTCAGGTGCTGCAGATGTAGGAGCTACCGACGGGCCTGCAGCCGGTGGCTGGCCCTCCGTCGTCTGCGGCGTTGCACCACCAAATCTTCGTTGGTCCGTCTCCTGCTGGCGTTGACTTCGGGTACGGACACCCTCCGTTTCCTCCTTAGGTAAAATCGGCATGATTTTATCCCACTTCTGACACCAATTGTTACGAGCTTGCGGTTCGTGACAATAAAAATTGCCGATAAAATTACCTAAATTAACACTTTAATTTATTTTACACAATTAAAGTTAAAACACCAATAATTTAAACACACTAATTCACTTAATTCCACTCCGAAGCTTCGCTTGTTTCGCCCAAATCAACACTGCCTCCATCGCATCTTGCAGCGCCTATATATTTAAATTAGCAAAGAAATATCCAGAATGTTCAAGTAAACACGCGGAAGGTATCGAGCGTTCGAGTTTCGACTAGGCGCTGTCAGTTGAGCGATTTGTGATGTCATTTTCTCAATGCTCCCCTCGCTCTCGTTCCTGACACTAGATGGCGCTAGTTGACTTATTCATGCAACAATATTATATTATCGGCCAGCGAAGCAGGCGCCTGGCAGCTAGTAACATTGTTGGCAATCTCTAACATATAGTGTTGATCATCATTATCAGATAACTTTATATATTGATTGCCTCGTTGGTCTAGTGGTTGTAGTAGTGCGACTGCTGATTATGAGGTCCTGGGTCGGGCCAAAAAATTAATTATTTAATTTTTACGCCAAGAAATTCTCAGTAGTTGCTCGGAGTCAGGAAGTTGGCGGTGTCTCACCCCCGTGCCTCGGAAAGCACGTAAAGCCGTTGGTCCTGCGCCTGATCTCTCACCGGTTGTGTCTGTTTACCGTGCTATCGAGTTATGAGAGTGAGGGAAGAGAGAGTGCACCTGTGCTTGCGCATACACTTGGGCACTATAATCCTGTCCTACGCCAATGGCTAGCCTCAGTTGAGGCAGGCCGCCGCGGCCGAAATTCGGTCGGGAGGACATTATTATTAATATTATTGGGGTATCTATATAATTTTCTCACCTGGTTGGGTTCTATAAATCTATAATTATAAATTAAAATGAAAAGATAAATATACATAAATATCAATAAAATAAAATAAACACAAAAACTACATAAATAAATAAGATCCAACCAGATGGGAGCCCTCGGCCGGGGAGACCAAACGGCGAGGGTTAGGGGGAAAGGGAAAGAAACCGGCGGACGATGCGGGCGGTATCGAGGAGCACCGCCTTTTGCATTTGAGCCCGGGGCGGTCCGTCACGGAATCCGAGTCGCCTCAGATGACCCGAGAGGCTGACTGGGATTAGCCCATTCGCAGAGACGACTACAGGGAAAATTTCGGTCGGCAGACCACCCCACATGTCGGTCACCTCGTGAGCCAGGTCCAGATATTTTGTACGTTTCTCTGTTTCGGCTTTCACGAGGTTCTCGTCATACGGAATGGTAATGTCGATCAAAATATCCTTGACTGTGCCCGGTCCATCAGCACAATATCAGGCTTATTCGCAAGAATAGTCCTGTCTGTGATGATGGCCCGGTCCCAGTAGAGCTTGGCGCGGTCATTTTCGAGCACGGCTTCCGGCAAGTACTTGTAATACGGCAATTTTCGGTCCACGAGACCGTATTTCAGAGCGAGCTCCTGGTGTAGAATTCTGGCTACTAGGTTGTGCCTGTGCAAGTACTCAGAGTTAGAAAGCGCCGAACAACCGGAGATGACATGCCTAAGTGACTCCCCGGGATGGCGACAAGCTCGACAGACGTCGACGGTGCCATCCTTTAGGATGTATCTCTGATAGTTGTTGGTCTTAATAACCTGATCCTGTATTGCACAGACAAAACCCTCGGTTTCCCCCGAAGAGGTCACCGAAACGTAGCCAGTTGAGGGAGGCGACTGTATCTACGAAGGGCTCATGTAGAGCCCTGTAGTATCTCCCATGGAGCTCCTTCTCCTTCCATACGGTCTCCCGGTCGGAAATGCTCTGTACTGCCGGGTCTTGCCATTGCTCGTTGGCCAAGGATAGAGGGGTAAGCCCTTTATCACTAGAAATGACGTCATTATAGAATGGATCATCCGATCTCGCCAGGAAGTAATGACGGAGGCTGCACACTTCACGATTATGCATAGTGAGCGTGCTCAGAAAGCCACGCACACTATGCTGTCGCGGCAAGTACAGCCTCATTACCGACGATCTCGGATGATGCATCCTATGGGACGTCATGGTAGTGCGGACTTTTCTATCCGGGGCGTTATGTTCAGTCTGAGTCCACCTGAGTATGCCAAAGGTATACATAAGGACAGGCATGACCCAACCGTTATATGCGTGTGTCTTATTCACACCGGACAAAAGGCTATTAAGCACTTTGGTCAAGCGTGCATAAAACACGTCGCAAACTGACTGTTTCACACCAGCCGATCATCGATACCGATGTTCTGTGACATACCCAGGTATCGGTATGTTTCAGCTTCGGAAAGGGTCCTTAAGTTGACGGGCATAGATAAATCTATGCCCTCAGAGTTAGCAACCCTTCCCCTCTCAACATGGAGGACCGCACACTTATCCGTCCCCAGCTCCATTCCAATGGAACTGCTAAACTCACAAGTAATTTTTAGCAATTCCACAAGATGGGAGCGACTGGAGGCGAATAACTTAAGGTCATCCATATAGAAAAGGTGGGTCACTTTTGTCCCTCCTTTCCGTAGCTGAAATCCTCTCCCGGATCCCTCCAGTAAGGTACTGAGAGGGTTCAGGGAGAGGCAGAACCAGATTGGACTCAGACAATCGCCCTGGAAGATACCCCTTCTTATCCTTATGTGGTTCTCCGCAGCCATAATCCACTCACCCAGATGACAAAGGATCGTACTCCACTGCCCCATACACTGCTCGAGGAAGTCTCTCACTGTACAGTCTATCTTGTACAGCTCGAGGACTCTCTTTAGCCATGTATGGGGCACCGAGTCGAATGCCTTTCTGTAGTCTATCCAGGCGGCGGAGAAGTTCCGACGGTTGCGTTTCACCACTTTGCCAATGACCGTGTCAATGAGGAGTGGTTCCTTAGTTCCACGACCACCGCTCCGACATCCATTTTGAGCGCGTGACATCACCTGATTTAGCTCCAGGTGACGAGTGATTCTCGCGCTCAAAATGGATGTCAGTGTCTTATATATGGTGGGTAGACACGTAATGGAGCGGTATTTGCTCGGGTCTGTGGTAACCTGGTCTTTAGGAACCAAATGAGTGATCCCAGTAGTAAAGAGGCTAGGGAGCGACTTCTAGTTGAGAGCCTCTTGAAACTGACGGGCGAGCACAGCGTAACACACCATGAACCCCTTCAGCCAGTAGTGATGCAGCCCGTCGAGTCCCGGACTTTTCCAGTTCGGGGCTCTACGGACCGCCTCAGCTACGTCATCCGGCGTTATGATGACGGGGTCCATGGGCGTAATACTCGCACACTGACTCGCCACAACTTCCGTCCAAGGGCCCTCGCTGTGGTTTACGGGCTCTGACCACAGGCCACGCCAAAATGCGACAGTGTTAGCCTGATCCGGTCCTGGGCCCGCTCCACATACCTCTGGTCGCTCCAATGATTTGTAGAGCCTCTTCTGATCACTCTGGAAGAGACGATTCTGGGTGAACCGCCTTGACCTCTCGGTAAATTGGCGAATCCGCTTCCCCCAAGCAGCAATCTTTTGCTTCAGGTCGTCTATGCGCTCCGTTAGTTTCTGCGTGATATCCGGCTGGGACAAACTGATATTTGTCCCAGCAAACGCCATTCTAACGGTGCGTCTACCTCAACCCTCAGTCTATTATTACCCGACCTGAAGCTTATCAGTCTGCCGATAAGGGCCCTTGCCTTTGCGATACGGTCCTCAGTTCTTTTTCTCCAGGCTGGGATGGCGCTACTTTGTTTAGTAGCGCGTCCAGCCATGGGAAGTTTGGCGCCAATAATACGGCAAGCTGCCACTGCGGCGCCAAAAAGAACTGAGTCCGTCTCGCAAAGGTCCCGGCTGGCTTCCAAATAGGTTACCAGCATTGGGTTAAGAGCCCTCACGACAGCCCGATTTCGCTTGCTTAGGGGTATGCGGGGGAAGTCGCGGTCGATTTTCGAGAGGCATGCTGCGCGTATCCAAAATCGCCTCTTCCAATATACTCCTCATTTGCTCTAGTTCGTGGGAGACCATTTCATCATCGTCTGAATCACCCACAACTGGAAGATCCATGGCGGCTTCTACGCGTGGCAGCTGGTCTGTCGCCTGAGGAGCCTCATCCCCAGCCGTAGCCAATTCATTCGATGAGGGAATGGCCTCACGTCGTAGTCGTTCGAGCTCGGCATCATCGAATATTTTCGAGCGCATGATGTACCGAACTCGGTCTGCCAGGTTTTGTTCCGTGACGGGAATAGACGGCTCCAGCTCAGCAAAAAAGCAATGCATCCGAGCCCGATACGCTATCCCCGCAGTTTCTTCCTCTTTCGCCCTATAGTACGCCCGCAATGCGTTTGCGTTCATATCCCTTGTCCAACGCATGCGGCGCACTCCACCAGCGGCGGATGCCGCTTGCCGAGTCCGAGAGGACCCTGCCGACATCAAGCCGTCTGGTGGGGTTATTAATATTATTATTATTATTATCGGCCAGCGAAGCAGGCGCGTAGCAGCCAGTAACATTGTTGGCAATCTCTAACAGATAGTGTTGATCATCGTTATCAGATAACCTTATATATGCATGAATATTTAACTCTGCATATTAGTTTGTGTCGAAATAAATATCAATTAAGTAAACATGTGTAAGTTATATATGCATTAATATTTAGCTCTACTACTACATATTATACATATTATTTATCCAACTAGCTGCTGCCCGCGACTTCGTATGATGATGTTGCTTATGCCAGCGACAACGGGGTCGTCAAAATCGAAGATCTAAAACGTCTGATGTCGAATTCTAAGAGCCCGTGGACGGGAAAACAACGTGATGCGCGAGACGATGCGAGACGTTCCAGATCTTTCATTTTTGTAAGTTAGCACGAAATGCCCATCAGACTAAACAACTTTTGCTAAGACGTCATTCCTATATATGTTATAATGTCGCTGGGCTTTGGAGTTCCACAACAGGTGTTCCAGATTTTCAAATTTATTCTCACAGTAGAAAAAACTCTTCACGTGGAATATTTTTTGCTATGACACCATTTTTATATCTCTTATGCTTTAGCTGGTCTGCTGCAGTTCTGCATCAGGTGTTCCATTTTCAAAATAAATTATAGCCTATATGTTAGCTAGACTTAACACCTATACCACAAAAAACTTTTCATTCCGTATATTTCACCGATCCGGTGCGGAATGCACCGGATCCCATGGGTACACTGATTTAGCAATAATATTGCAAATCACTTTCAAAAAAATTCTTTATAAAATATAGCTGTACCTTTGGCTTTGCCCACGTTCTCGGTCACGCGCAAGTCGTATCTCACGCTCCTGACTGCTCTCAAGTGATCGAGCAGTCTCAGAGCGGATATTCTGAAAACTCAACCTCTGATCCCTCTGTGTAACCGTTTCGGATGCGCGAGACAAAGAATGACGATCCCGGTCGATAGCTAAAAGCATTTCTCGTTGTTCCACACTTTCCTGAGATCGAGAAGCAGTAGTGCGGACTCGTTTAAATTCTAGTCGTAATTGGCGCTGCGTGCTGGTTTCTGCGGACAAACTTAGTGCATTACGCTCACGGTTAGCACCTAGCCGTTGTTCAAGCTCTGTGTGGGTTCGAGAGAAACTACTGCTACTACTAACTAACCTGCGCATCTTAGAAACCCTTGAGTTTCGAGATAGATTTGATCTTTTTCTAAAAGGCATAGCTAAAATTCCTTCTTAATCCGATACTAACGAAATTCTAAACAATGAAAAGTAATCGAATAAGTGCGTAAGAATTGCTAGTAAGTAGAAAAATAATAATTATTCGCAGGAAAATTAAACACATCAACCAACACAGACAGCAAAGGTAACCCCCGTTTCTATTGGATGAGAGCGAGAGCGGCCCATCGGCACCTATAACATCACTTTTTGGGAACGAAACCATCGCGCGATCTAACTCGACGCCAACGCCATCTAGTTAGTAAACGGAAACTACATATTATTTACCCAAATGAATTAATAAAATTATGAATTAAAACTAAATTGTCGTTAATTTAATAGAGAGACAATTTAATAGTTACGTTTTTCTAACAAAAGCCACTTTTTTTTCTCGAAAATACTCAATGTACAGTTTTTCTTTCATTACTGTTTTATTATATGTATAGATAAGATTTGGGTATGTTAGAACGAGTAGCACTTATTAAAATTCTGTTGGTCAATTTATACAATTCTAGCGTATAATTAGATTAGCTAATTCGCACGCTCAAAATGTACCTTAGCATAATATTTAGTTTTGAATAAATCGTAATGAATTTGTTTTCAGGATGTTGTTTTATTCTCTCATTTCTCCAACAAATAAAATAAACTTGTGTAAGTTTATTATATTTAAGGTGTAAGTTTGTCTTTTTGGATTGTCACTCAATTACGCTCAAACATCTGAAAAGGTTTTTAATAAAATTTGTTTTAGATGTACATTTTTATAGTGGAAAAGGACCTGGGATACTTTTTATAATGCTTTGGATTTCGGGATGGATGGCCCACATAGTGGACGCGTAACAGCATTTAATGGCTTGGTGGCGCTTTTCAAGACATAATAAATTAATATCCAATTAATATTTAAAATGTTAATTAATACTAATGGCCCAATTTGTGCTAATTCACGTTGTATTTCTTGTGATCAGAATTGAATATCAAAGCTATCTCCAGTTAGTTTATGTAGGCACCATTTGACAACACAGAAATTCCCCCTAAATTAATTTCGGGACGTTTGTTCGATCCCCGTGAATATTCATCATTGTTTAAGTCCATTTCGTGAGGTAGGCGATGTTCGCTGAATTCGCTGTTCATATTGTGCGTCAGTGGTTCCTTGACTGTTTGGTGGATGGTTTTAGAGTTGCAGTGTTGCGTTATACGAATTGCGGCCGTTGCTGAGCTTTGTGTATAATTAATGGTAGACCTCCATTGATTTTTATATGTATATGTACGTACGTAGCCGCAATGCAGCTGTATTATCGATGCAGTGCGATGAGATAGCTCGATCGGACCACGCTCGCACGGAATACCAGCGTGAAACAGCAATATAATACCGATATGCTATTTAGTTAAGTAACGATTCAAGACCTTTTCACTGGAAGTGTCCAGACATTTACTACCCTCGGGGAAGACTAGGTATCTGTAGCTTTTTTCGTTGAAATATGGCTGCAAGTCTTCATGGGATGCAGAGGCAACTTACTTTCAGATGGACTGATAACTTATTTGTCACAATATTTAAAAATATGTTTGTTTCGACTATCTTGTATCGGATTATTATAGTCCTTTTTAATAGTGAAAATTGACCATTTTAATGGAACAAGGCCATGTGTGATATAATTGTTATTATTACAAAATAATAGGCTAGCAGCCTTTTGGCTAACGTACCTAAACAACTTATAAGTAGACTGCACTACGTTGAGAATTCTGTTTTATTATTATTATTATTCGGATATTGTATTTTTGTATTAGGTATTCTCTTCCGGTTGATAAATAAATAAATATAAACCAGACGGAAGCTCCCGGCAAGACAGACCAAACGAAGAACACCGCCTTTCACCAGAGTAAGTAATAAGTTCAAGGAACTTCCACTGATTCCAACGTATACATTGCGTTACAACATATAGATAGTTATGTAAACTACTATTTTCTTTATACCTTACTTCAGTTATAGTTTAGTTATACATAGCTCTCATAAATATCTATATCGTATAACGATCTGCACCGTTACAACGTTGCATTTGCTTGCACGGACCGGATCTTGTTATTATGATCACATCTGATTTTGATTTTTAGTAGATTTAGTTTATTTTCAAAACCATTGTCATCATCGAAATCTCGAATAGGTGTAAATTTGTAATATATTGCAAATAGTTAGCTGATAATATACATAGACACATAAATTTGTACATAAAATGAACTTTTAAGCGACTCAGCAGATCAGCAAGTTTTAATTTAGTTTGTATCACAAAACTGGAATAGTTGTAGTATTTTTAAGTTATAAATAGTTATGATAACGTTACGCGTTGTACAATAACGGTAATGTTACGTTATTTATAAAACATATAACAACCCACCGTCACCGCCTTCTGCAATTGAATCGAGGATCACGGGCCTTCTGCATTTGCTGTAATAATTACTATTCTTGTTAATAGTTACCGACACTTTTCAATGTACATTGAAGTATTTTCTTCTAATATAATAAGTCACTTGTCCAATAGATTCTTTCTAGATGTTCATCGATCATTATAATCTATTTTCTAACTGCATTGTAAAGAAAATTGCTCATTTCCAAATTATTTTATAATTTTAGTCAACATATTCATCTAGCCGTAACTTTGTCACACCTAGAGTTCTGAACGTTAAAATATGCAGACCATCCTTCTTGGAATAAAATGTTTTCAACTCAAGTATTTCAAATAAAACTTGAATAAATGTAAGCGCCTTATTATTGCACCAACTTTTTACTGTCACGGAGCTTAACTTAAGAAGCAGCTGCTATTTTGACAGAAAGAAAGACTGAAAATAATTTTAAAATATTTTGCAAGTCCACTACAGAATATTGTGTCTAAGTTTCTTGCTTCTATCGCCTTACAGCATCAATAGATAATCAATGCATCTAATAATTTTCTTTGTTTAGGTATTAAGTGAATATGTTTATTTTTCTTTTAAATAAAATTCATAAAAACACATCGTGATGGCTCGCAAAGAAAACCGTAGTAGAAAAAAGTATGGCAGATACGTTCGAATAGTGCTTTGTTATCCTTTATTAGATTATCCATCCCCTAAGCTTTGGAATGACATTCAAATGAGAGCGACTTAATTAATTTTCACATTTTTATCGCATTTTTTAACTTATTTTGAAATTCTGAATATAAGAGTGCTTTGCAGAACTTATGTTCACGGAGACAGAGATGCTAAAACTTTCTGCAATGTATACGCTATTACAACTAAGTCCCAGAAAATATAGAAGGTTTCTCTATTACCAAGTTTAAATAAAATATTTAACAAAAAAATAATTTATAAAACAAAAACTGTATAAAAAGTTTTATTATAATATAAATGAGAACATGGTTGATAATAACCCCAGGTAATGATGGGGTCGCTTTCAAGCTGTTTCTAAAATAAATTTTGTAATTATTTTTTGTAACCATTCACTTTGTAAAATTTATTTAAAAATAGTCCCGCAGGGTTTCTAGTTGGTTCTTCACAGGACAGAAGTTTTTTCCGAACCAGTGGTAAAGTAAAAAATGACTTTCAATAAAAATTACATGTCATCTATATTGAATAAAAAAAATATTCTATTCTTATTATTCCTGGTGTCATAGTTAGTCCGTGCCACTAAAATAATCTTTGCTGAAAAGTAGGTAACTGATTTATTTGTTAGAAAATGTGAAAATTGTACACATTCTTTAAGTATTTCAATAAATGTTGCACTTTTTACCCAACCGGGGTCATTGTAATGAGATTTTAAATGGTTATAAAATAACATTCCATCCAAATATTTTATG